TCCTTCAAAGTCAATGCCACCTCATCTAATTATAATTATATAATTTTAAATAATATTTATAAATTGTATGTTTGATTAATTAAATAAAACAGCTGCTTAATTATTTAATTATTTATTATTATTTTTTAAGTTAGATGCAGAGCATTTCTCCTTGACATATATGACAACCAATTGCCAGCCAAATAACTTCATTAGCAACCAGTTGAAGTTTGAGCCGGCCACGTGATATAACAAGAAATTTTTTATTTTCTTTTCCCTTTTACTTCCCATATTACAAATTTATCCAAGAAAGAAATAATTATAACTGCTAATTAAGCATAATAGATGTCGAGTGTTTTTGGTACTTTTTTAGTGGGGTTATTAGTTTCTCTCGTTTTATAAGATTGTTCTTTTTTATTGAAGAGTTTTTGTGTGGATCTTTTATTTTTCGGACAGTTTGAAGATGATGAATTATTGATTGCTTGTGGTTGGAGACTTCAGATCTTTAAGTTCGGGTAAGTTCATTTTACTAATTGAGTCAGATAGTGCGGTTTGTTCCTCTATTAAAATTTGATGTATTAAACTCTTCTGTGATAATCAATTGTAATAAGTTTTCGAAAAAAATAATGTTCCGGACAATATTATGAAATGTTTCTTTTGTTGTCCTATTTGAAAATGGATCAGTTTTTATCCGAAAGATTAATATTTTCTGCCAAGATAAGAATATCTCCAACCAGAATATTTCAATTTTTTATATTTGTATTTTTTATTCCTATGGGAATATTATGATTTACTTAACTTATATTCATTATTAATGAATTGTTAAATTTTTTTTAAACAATATTATTCTTATATATTAAATTAAATAATGTAAAGATATTATTGTTTTAGTATTATTTATTTTAATTATATGAAGTAAATAGGATAAAGAGAGGGGAAAAAAAAAAAAAAAGAGAAAATGGTAAAACTTAAAAGAAAATTTGGAGGAGGCATTGAAAAGGAAAGGAAAGAAGTAGTGTGGGGAGGACACGACAAATCCTAAAATCAAAAAAGGTGAAAATGGAAGAGCTTCAAAAAAGGGTGAGAAGAAAACGACATGGAAATGGACGAATAGAGATATTGATTGACATTCATAGTAGTTAATTTTCTTGCAAATTAATAAAACAATTTTGATAGCATACAATTTAAAATATAATTAATTTCACAAAATTAGCAAGACAAAATTTAAAATAAAATTCAATTATATTAAAAACAAAAATATGAAAGTATATGAAGAATCCTATTCTAATCAATAATAATCCAAAAGGCCTCATCGAAAGGAAATTAAGGAGTACTATTTTCAAAAAAAAAAAAAATAATAATAATAATAAAAAGGAAAGGAGTACAATTTGGAGGTGAAGTGGTTAGGTGATGGGTATACACAATAAGTAAGAAGTGAATAGGAGTGATAGCAATAGTTTGTGGCTGAAGGTAACATGCACAGTCAGGGAATATGAAAGGTTAGGTATAATTTATGATTTCAATTTTTATTATATATATAAATATATAAGTGGGAATAGGATTTTAATTTTATTAATTGAAATTTAATTTAATTGGTAATATTGATTTTTAAAATTCTATTAGATAAAATAAAAATAATATTATATATTAAATAAGGTGTATATTGAATATGGATAGAATATAATATTTTTAAGGATTTTATTTTATTGATTAAAAAAATAAAAGTGATTTAATTTTGATTGATTATATTATAAAAATTTAATTGTCAAATTATAATTATAATTAATTATTATTTATATTTTTTTTTATTTTGTGAATGCTCTTAGATTTGTAGTTCATAATATTATATTTATAATAAAAATTAATAGAAAATTATCTATAAAAATTAAATTATATTTATTTACAACCAGTAAAAATCATCTGCAATGGATTTTCCAGGGAAATTTTTTTTTTTTTTTTAAATTAATATTTGGGCAAGGCATCATCAATTTGGAGCATAGTATATAAAGACAAAAGAAAGAAATAGCTTTGAATATAGTGATATAAGCAATGTTGATGCTTTATCAGTTATTGCAGATAAAAAGACAAAGGCCCAACTCACTTATATATTCCCTTTCTTTGATGTGGTCAACATTTATCTAATTTAAGTAATAAGCTTCAACTTCTTAAGGTAAGCTCTAAATACAATTCTATCCTTTTAAAACCAATTCTTTCTTCTGTGCTCCACCTCATCTTTCGTAAAATATTCTAGGAATTTTTGAGGATTTGACATATTATTATTTCATAAATAATATATATTTTTTAAAAAAAAATTTCATTGGCTGATAGCTGTGATTGTGTAACTTAATTGGTGCAGCCTCATCCTATTTATGATTTCAAAATCCATCAAAACAATGGAAAATGATTAATGAGAGATCAAAATTTTGAACAATTCATTAATTTTATTCTGCTTTTGTTATGCCAAATATGAAAAAAATGAATTGTTTGCCACATAATTTTATTATACAATAGATGAAAAGCTTATCCTTTGTCTTTAACTGTCATTAATGCTACAATCTATGAATAAGAAAACATGTATAGGCTACAACAATCACAAGATTCAAACCTTTGTTCCATGTTCAATTGATTCTTTGTTCCATGTTCAAGGCCCACCAACCATTACCCCACCCCACCCATGAGAAAAGTCTCTTGGACCCACTAAGCTCTACTACTATTCTTAACTTGTATTTTAGAAGAGTAGGCATATACGAACCAGTCAAACATGTCTTGTATTAATATAAAGTTATAAGCCAACAATCATAGAAGTAGAAAAAGGAAATAAGATTTCAAGCAAAATTCATAGAATTCAATAAATGATAATGTGTTTTCTACCGAGCGAGATTCTCGAATTTTAATACTAAGCGAAAGTCTCAAACTTTAATTATATAATAAAATAATCCTTTAATTAAATATTACTTATTTTTGAATCGGTATTAAGTAACGCGATAAATTCTTGATAAATTTTCGATCAGTTAGTAAATTCTATCAAGTGAAATAATAACCGGTCAAATGGCTTAGCTTTGTATACAGTAACTCATGTTTAAATAATAATAGGGACTAGCCATGTAGCTTAGACATCCATTGAAAAAAGGGTTTCATAAAGTTGGGAAATTGGTAATTTTCAAAAAGTATATTTTTTTTTAGAAAAGTATTTAATTATATGGGAAAAAAAAAAAATCAATCCCCCACTTTAAAGTTGAAAATGAAAGTAGTTTCAATCAAAGGGTAATTAAGTGGATATGCCCTCGATCATTTTCTTAATCAAATTGGTAGAATGCCTAGCTTCCTAAGAAAATATTTTGTTTCCTTTTTGTTTGGAAAACAATTATATTTTATAGTGCCAGAGTGTAATGGCCAATGTGGATTCCATTATGTAAGTAAACAAATAATTATTATATAATAAAATATAAATTTATTTATTTTATATTAAATTTGTGAGTGTTAATTCACAGTATGCTACATGCATCCAAGTCTCTAATAGATCTCTAAAATTTTAAGGTACTGTTTTATTTCCAGAAAATATTAATTTTGCTGAGCTAGCAGTTTAATAATCACAAGTAGCTATACCTATATTTTTTTATTTATATAAATATTTTATTCCCTTGTGCCTTTGATTTAATAATATTATAGGCAGACAAGAGCCCCATTTCATGGTATTGAAAAATCATATTTTCTTTTAAACATAATTTTCTAGAACTTTCATTAAAAGATGATATATGTTTTTGATTCTTATTATAATTATGTTTTGAGATATATATTTTTTTGGTATATTGAGATAAAAAATATGAATTTTTTTTTTCTTTTTTTTGTCACTAGAAAAATTGTTTTTTTAATTATTCTTGTTGGGTACTAAAAGGGAGAAATTTTTTTTAAAGATTATTTTTATATAAAAAAAAAGAAGAAAAACCCTTAATACCCTTTGAAATCCCACTCCTTTTATTCACTTGAGACAAATTTCATATGCACCCATTTGAGACAAAAGGCTTCCTACAGTTTACCATATTTTTTCTCTCCCAAGAGAAACAGCCTCCATTTCATTTATTTATTTATTTTGAGATGAAACTCTAATTCATGATGGTGGGCTTGTGAGTGGTACTTTCATTTCAGGTTGAAAAGATTAAAGTGTACATAATAATGAGCATATAAGCACTTGGTTGGATGCCTGATTATTACTACAAATATATAAAAAGTCAACTTGTGGATTTAGGTCAAAGGTGCAAACCCCTCTTGTGACTCTTACTATTCAGGAAATTTTCACCAATTTAATTTAAAAATAAAGCAATTTTCTTCCAATAGGTAGAAGGAACAAAAGTCAACTTCCTATAAAAAGTCAACTTGCCAACTAGTTTAAATGTTTAATAAGGGGGAAAAAGGAGAGAAAGGAAAAAATTATGTTGGGCCTACAAGAAGTTGGGCTACTCCTCCATCAAGATATGAGCCCTGTTGCTATTGGTATTGGGTTATGGACTCATTGAGATTTTATAGGGCCTTGAAACCTCATGTAAAATTAAGATTTTATACTATGTTCAAAGAGGAGAAAGAGAGAGAGATTGAAAATTTTGAAACTTGATAGAATTGTTTGGGTCACCATATTTCAAGAATAAAATTTGTACTTATGTTCAGCATTTTTGAGAATTTGGTGGGTTGTTTACTTATCATTTTCCATTTTGAGAATTGCTCAATTTTAATCACTGGAAAATTCTTGCCTATAATGGGCATATATGCTAAAATTTTCACTTTGTTTCCAGGAAAAAATGCATGAGACCCAATCCACGTTTTCTATGCCAATGTTATTGCCAAACACAGCCTTCATCTAATAGTATTATCTATCAACATATCCTTGTGATATCGTTTTCAGGTCCTGAATCCATTTCCATGTCTCAGAAGATGGATCACAATTGCAAGTTCAGACTGCACAGGAAGAGAGACAGAAAATCAAAGGAAATTGCGTTGGAAGACAAACAGAAAGAAAAGATATTAGGTCAAAAGCAAACAAAATGTAACTTTCATGTATTTGCTTTTCTGAAAATGATGAATAGATTTTATACAGGCCAATTCTGTCAACTTATAAAAGAAACCCAGATAAGCATATATCTCTTTCATTTTCAAATAGCACACTAGCTACATTGCTTTCCAAAACAGCTACAGAAGCTCCTAGCCTAAAAACACCTAACAGGACCTGGATCAAACAAACTAGTTGCAAATTCCTATCATCTGTAGAAACATACCAAGCAATAACAAAGCCTGGCTGCCTAAATGCCAAGTCCGTGAAGCAAGCAAATCCGATCTTCAAAATAGGCTCACCTTGCAATGAATCTATACCTGTATTGATTAACTACATTTGAGTTGCTACCTTTTTGCCCATCTTAAGCACTTATTATGTTTTACATCAATGCTTGGATTAGAAGTGAGCTGCTTTGTTGGTTGCATCATGGCAATTTTCTCCATAGCATTTATAAACTTCCGCAAGTGCTTGATATATTCAGGGTATGTTTCAAGGTTGCAATGGCCGCCACCTTTGACCCATAGGGGCTCATACTTTTCCTTGGAAAGTTCCCATAGCCGCTTCCCATGAGACCAATCAACTATGTCATCATTTGTTCCCTGAGAATGTTTAATTATTAGATGATGATGATGCAAATGTGCGTATTCAAGCCCAAAATCAACTAGAATCATGGTAAGACTAATAAGACAAACATATACTTGCATTTAAAATGGGCGTTTGATACCAGATAGAGAAAAACAGTTGATCCCACAGATAGAGGCAGAAATGACAGAAACCTGATTGTCAAAAAATACTTGGTTTTGCTCATAGACTGTCTGCATTCTCTGTATTCTTGTTTCAGCAAATACAAATGCTTGTGCTTCTAAGATCAAGAGTTGCCGAGTGGCCTCCCTTAATTAAAACTTAGAAGCCAACTAAAAGAGCATATTTAATTAACTAACCATGTGCAACAGGTGCCCCGTGAAAATTAGAAGGATTTGGGAAGCAAGTCATGAGAGCATATGGTTCATGTCTTTTTTTATTTTTTTATTTTTGTTGTTGTCCACTCAAGTTTGGTTTGTCTTAAATCCAGAAACAAGCATCTCAATTTCAACCATAAATCTGCATTGCCATAGTCCTACAGCCATGAATATGTTCAATTCCTGTTGATTCAAAACTCTTTTTTTGTTTCTTTAATGCTTCCAATGATTGGTGACATGCAATTCTTAAGAGATTATCCTATTGATGAGAAGGGTACTGTAGATTTTAAATTTTTCACAATTGTTCTTTTGTCATGTATAAATTTAGCAGAAAACTTTCTAAGATTTTACTGTGTCTCCTACCAAAAATATAGAAATTTACTGCATTTCTTATTCATTCCTATTAAAAAATATATATTTTCAACAAATACAACTTTATAGAGCTCTACAGTGACGATGACAAACAAAATTCCGAAGAAAAGAAAAAATTCACACTCGTATTGTTCAGCATTGGCTGCAAATTATCACAAGCAGTTTAATATGCTAGCAGTGTCATTTGCATCATGAACATAAATAGGCAAAAGTATATTATTAAACAAAGTTAGAAGCTGGAAATAATGACCAAAATAATAAAGAGAGGAACTTACATGTATAACCAGAACTGGACAGTTAACATTCCGTATTTTGTCTATATTCTGTAAATAACAGACAGTTTCTCCAATTAAAAATGAAGAACGGAACTAAGTTAATATCTTAAAAAGAACAAGAGATTGAAGGAACTGGTGCTAAACTTGCCTTGAAAATGTCAAACCAAAATGTCATCTTGACAGGATATAAAACCCGTATGCCCGAAAGGATTGCACTATGAAGAACAACACCTCTCAATTTATGTAAACGAGAAGCTAAATGCAGGGTTGGTCCACTTCCAACAGATTGTCCATACAAGATCAAATCCTCTTGCTTGACTTCATAATCATTTTTCAGACAATTATACACAGCCTCAATGTCATAATATGTGTTGAATTCAGACGGCTATTAAAATTATAGAAACAACGACTGATCAGGTGTGGAACTAGTCACGTATATAGGCGAAGAGACAAATGGAGACATGTAGGTAATCAAATTATTGACTCAAAATCTAGGGTTTATAGAATGCTTTTAGTTTATACCTTGCCAGAAGATGCTCCATATCCTGAATAATCATAGCTGCAGCCAAAATAGCAAAATGTCAAAATAAGTGCCAAAAAACATAACTTGCTATAATCTTAACAACAAAGGCTTAGCAGCAGCATATGAACTTATGAAACCTCAGAAAATTATTTTCTCTAAACCTTAACATGATGGCTTTTCGTTTTATTTATTTAATTTTTTTGCATGTATTTGGGATTAAGGCTTAGCGTTGTTGCTGTATATTGGAATGATAAAAAAGATATAAAATCTCGATTAGCTAAATTTGAGTATATACTCAGCATACAATCACAAAATGGAAAAAAAAATAAAAAAATAAAAATTCAGATAAATTTTAACACTTTAACACAAAAGCTAATTTGAATTAGCAGATAGTGACAAATGGTGCAACAAATTTCCAAAGAGATCGGGATAACACCAGAAAATATCTGGCTTATGATCAAATTTAATTTAGAAAGGACAATTTATCAAATTCCTTTGGGGTGTACTCAGAATCTAAGGTCACAAAAGTGAAAAAGAAATGCTTATAAATCTGCAAAATTATTAAATCAATGCCCAGATAAAAATTGGCCCATGATTCTAAGTCTTCCTCTCTATAAAACCAACAGATACGATAGCACCGACAACCAACAAATCAAAAGATAAAATAGGAAAAAATAAATAAATAAATAAAAGAGAGAAATCACGATCAGCAAATGATGGGTGTTGAAGTAATTGCACAAACAAAACAAAACAAATAAAAGCAAACCCATTAATCCATAACTAAAAAATAATTAATACCCAGAATCGATTATTATCCCCAGTCCAAAACAATCATTAAATAAAAGTGAGCCACAAAATCAGAAAATTAGTATTCAAAACAACCACCAAAATATGAACATAGAACAGGATTGAAATCGAAAATCAAAAAATCAGAAAAAGAAAAGAAAATACTCCCAGAAATGAAGCAATAATGAAAGAAAATGGGCAGAGAAATAATTCCAAAAAAAATCAAAACCAATAAACCAGAAAAAGAAAAACAATTATACCTCATAATATTAACCCTTAAATGAGCTCTAAGCTCAATAAACAGCTCAAGCATTTGGCCAAGGTCAGCTGCGTTCCCATGGGAATATAAAAGGGTAAACCTCGCAAAAGGGTGTTTCCAAAACGTTGCCACAATTTTATTGCCGGCTTTTGTCTCCAACAAGTGAACGTCCATATTCTTATCAGCTGTGACTCCAGGCAGAATCAACCTCCCATCTTCTTCTCTACATATATCATAAGTTGGCGGGTCAGGCGGGAAGAAAGCGAATTTCGCTGCCACATTAGACGTTACATTTCCCATTTACTTTCCTTTTTGTTTTTCCTCTATTACAAAAACAAATTCTTCAACGCAAACCCAGTTCAAAAATATGGCGTATATACAATAAATGATCGTTAAAGAAAAAAAAAAAAAAGATAAAAGATTTTTATCTGGTTTAAGTAAATTTTGGTTATGATGTTTTTATGGGTTAATGAGAAAAGATCCAATTTAAGAGGGCGAGTTGAAGATGGCGGTGATGATGGTGGTGAGGAGGGAACAGAAACCCAGAAAATGAATAATGATTTGGATACGAAGTTTTGGAGGACAAATGAGAGAGGGAGAGACAGAAAGGAAAAATATGTTTTGGTTTAGAGTTTTGGTGGATGATGAATTGTTAGTGTAAACCTGCTTCAATTTTTTTTTTTTTTTAAAAAAAAAAACCTGCTTTTGTTATTTATCTATTTATTTATTTAAATTATTTTTGTATCTTTGACCTGTTTTCTATTTTTGAGATGATGTTAGAAAGTACAGTTTTGACCCTTTTTTTCTTGTACACTCCATCAATTATATGAGCAACAAGAAAAAAAAAAATTGTCTATTGGTAATTTATTAACTTTTGAAAATTAATTTTCTTCAAAAGCAATATTTTTATCATGAAAAATAAATTTAAAACTCTTATTGTTAACAAATAAATTTAAAAACTTTATTTAAATATTTTCATGTTTTTTTAGGTTACTTGTGTCAAATTAATTTTTAATAGTCTCTTACTAATATATTCTTGGATTATACCTTTTGAGTTTTAATTTTATTATGCCAATATAGCTTAAAAGAAAGAAATAATGTTAGTTTTCATTTTTCAAAATGGAGGTGGATATATTATTTATAGTAAAAAAAATAGAATTATTCAAAATTTTGGGTCAATTTTGGTATATTTCTTGTTGTTTCCTTATTGTTTAATATGATATTTATTATTAATATAATATCTTAATTTTAATTCAACATTAGACATTTGTAGTTTGTGCAATTATAAATAAAGTTCTTTGAATGGAGGAAAACGTGTCAACTTGTTTAACTAATAATTAATCATTACTATTAAAAAAAGTAATTAATATTGCTTAAATAATAAATTTTATTTGTATTTTTTAATATATTTTTTATTAATTTAATATTAGATATCAGAAAATAGATAACCGAATAAGAAAATTATTTATGACGAGGCATATGAAATTAAGAAAAAAAGAGAGATAAATAAAAAAGAAAATCATTTATTTTTACTCAAAGGTGATATATAATTTTTTGCACATAAATCGCAATTTTGTCTTTTCAACATAAGTTGAAAGACGTCTTAAAAACGGAGGCTACGTCCTTCAAAAAAAGTGTTCTTAAACGTTAATTCCTTAATTAATTAAAAGTAATATAAAGATGAAAAAAAGAAAATAAAAAAGAGGGCATGATGATGGATGGACGGCAGAGCTTTGGTCAAAGGCTGCCGGAGGATCTGAGCCTGTGGAGGAGAAAGAGAAATGTCAGTGTCAGACATTCTTTCTTTCAATTGGTAAGCCCATTGTTTGCAAATCTTAAAATTCTTATGTGCATAAATAAAAATACAATACAAATATTTATTTAAAATATAAAAATAATAAAAAAATAAAATAATTAACTCTAATCTCAATGAGAAGATTGATTGGTTGGTTGGTTGAAATGTCTTCCTTCCTATCATGAATTTCATCTATTTGTTTTGAGAATTTTAGAACATTAATTCAAAATTGAAATTATCATATTTGAGAATGTTGATATTAGGATGTGATCTTGAAAATTGTTCTTTTATTCATAAAGTCTATTTAATAATAATTACAAAGTTTTGTTTTATTTTTCCTAATAAAAGATCCAAATCATAACTTCAATTGTTTTTTTCTTAGATATTTGGTTGAGTGAATAAAGAATATGACAGTGATTAGGATTGGTAATCTAAATCTTATTTTGTTTTTTTTTTTCTTTAGGAATAAAATCTTAATTTAATATTTGATTGAATATAAATTTAATTATAACGTGGAAATTTTCAAAATAAATGTTTTTAATCAAATTAGAAATTTCATTAAAAAGTTAAAATAAATTGTATGTGAAATACAGATCAATATGTTTTTATATTTTTATATAGAAAGTCTAATAATAAATTACTTATACAAAAACTAAAAAAAATACAATCTTGATTTGAAGTATCTGATTGAGCTGACAGAGCATAATATTTGCATAATATGTGATCGGTTGTTCCATGATCATTCTACAGTCCGATATGATCACTTTCAAATTTATTTCTTCTATTAAAAAGAAGATTTACATTTTTTCTGCATAACCGTTCAAATAACAAAATACCCTAAACTGAATATTAAACTATATAAATTACAACTCAACTATTATATTAACCTATCATTATCCTTGATATATAATTTATTTTATATATAAATGATGAAAGCCTGTATTATCTCAAACTTCAATATTATTGTATTAGACTAGGAAAATATATAAATGGATAGAGGAATAGAAATGCTATGTTTTGTCATAGACAATTCGGTAGGTGGTGAAATAGAAATATAGAATTGATTGACTAGTCCTTAAAGAATAGGGGACCCCACAAGGAGGGGACCTAATTAAATTCTATGGAGATAGAGAATTTGTCAATTATTAATTGGAGGTCCTTATCAGGAAAATGAAATTTGATTATTCCAATGCCAAAAATAGATTTTGAGGGACATATTTGCTATGTTCACTCCAAACTGAGGCACATGGTCTTTGTATTTATTAGAAGTTATATTTTCATTAAAATACATAAAGTGGATTCACATGAATTAAGATAAATAAATAAATAAATAAATAAAGTTAAAAGCCAATGGTCATCAAGTGACCCAATTACAGGAGTCACTGAAACAAGTAAAGCTGACAGCAGACAAAACAGACAAAACCAACTAATTTCAATCTTATGTCCCTTAAAATATCATAGACCAAGTGACTGTTATTTTTTTTTCCTAAAAAAATTATTTCAAGAAAAATAAAATTATTTTCAATACAAATAAATTTTAAAAAGGTTGAATTTTAGAAAAAAAATTGAATAATGAGCAACCCACAAAGTGCATTTTTCTTGCTTTTTGTAGAGACTATCTCCTCGTTACAAATGAGCAATTTTATCATTACATTATTACATTACAAATGGAGAAATATTTTCTGTTTATAAATATAGTTATTTGAGATAGTATTTTTATGCACAAATATTTATCGCTTTTGAATATTAAGAAATAATATTCTTTTCTTAATTAACAATCAGTAATTTGGTCAAAATAACGAACAGTTTAAATAATTTTTTAAAAAATTATTTTCTTAATTAAAGTGTAAAAAACTTAAATGACATATATTTATAGACGGAGGGACTACTTAATTATTAACATATTAACAAATTTATAATTAGTAATAATTCAATAATTTCGCAAGACATTTTACCATAAAATTTTGTTTGATATTTTTATTATTCTTTAATAGTAATAAAACACTAAAAAACTTTACTAAATTAAACAATATGATCCATAGATTTTAATTTTACTAAAAGTATTTGCAGTAATTTTTTAAATTAACCTGAGTAAAATTTAGGTTGAGTCCAAATTGGTAGACCGAGTCAAAAAGGCCACAACACAAAGTGCTTGAAAGTTGGTGCACAAAACAAAAGGGAAAAAGAAACTGAAAAGCAAAACCTTGGTCTTAAAGGATCGCTAAAGACAGAAATGCCACTTCTAAAATAAAATAGTACACAACTGTTAACAGGATATACAAGAGCCCACAAAATTACAATAAGATCAGATGTACTTCAACTCCATCATTGTATAATGGATCATCACTATCATGTCCGCGATACTATTAAAATTTTTACATTCATGGGACGGGACCAAGAAAATTAAAGGGGCGGCCGGCCGGCGGTAGTTCCACCATTGATGACATTAATTCGCTAATTACTGTCGATCGATTTAGAATTTAATTTTCAAGGAACATAATGAAGAAAATTGAATAAGTTAAAGGTTGACACTAAGTACGGATGTACAAGAAAATTGCTATAACAGTTTATAGCTCAGCAAAATCGAAGCAGTGAAGGTGGTGAAAGTGGAGCATGTGCAGTGGTTTGGAGTATGAGAAGCAGTGAAAACTGAAAGGTATAAGAAATTGAAATTGTGAAAGTTTATTTTCCCTAAGACTTATTTTTAATATTTTAATAACAGGCCTGGGTTAATATTCAAATAAAAATAATAATAATGTAAAATGAATTAACTTTATGTCAGGAATATGAAAACATACTCCTATGGCCTATTTTACAAAACTCAGAGAATAAGGCTAGCTATCTGCAATATATCACATAAACACAAGCACAAACAAGAAACATACTCTTATAAAAAATTTCAAACTTGGAAACTTCCTTTGTTTTTCTTTCTTTCTTTATTCAGATTACCCGATTAACATTGCATATAAGAACTGAAACAGCTGTTTATCTTATTAACATCGCACATAAGAACTGAGACAACTGTTTATTATATTTAACAGTACCGGTCCCCATAAATTTAAAAAAGAAAATTGCCCAAAGCACAGAACAAACAACTCATTTTAATACATAGAACCAATGAATAAGATGCAATAATAAAGTGGGCTGCAGCAATATAGACTTACTTTTGAGAGAACTTCTGAGTACACCAGGAATCGTGATTTCCCAAAATAACAGCTTTAGGAAATTTAAGATCTGCAACACTTTGGACGAGCTCTACATTCTCATTACCAAAATCACCTAAACAAGGCCCAAGGAGATGGGAGGACAAGAAAACATAACAAAAGGCCAAAAAGTCTAATAGGTTAGATTTACATTTTACTAGTAATGTTGCAAACGCATACTCAGAATGACTGGTCATGGTACATATAAGGCTGATTTTCATAATTCTCATGAACATGCATATAGTGCATCTGCATGCACTATATGTCAATATGAACTGAAAATTGTTGGTGTCCCACATGGAACCAGATCCCTTTTAAATATTTCCTTGACATTTGGCTTGTCAGTGAAGACAGTCAAAAAGGGTTGTGAAGGCACCGTGTATGAATTAAATGAGGACCAGCCAAAGACACCATACAGGTAAAAGGTGATGGAGAAGAAAACCTGCCTGTAAACAGCACCAAATCCAGCTGCATAATGCAACATATATTAGGTAGGTAGAGGATAGCTATGCACAAAAATAATAGGAAATGCTCACGGAAATCTGAAAGAAAATTGAGAGAAAAAAAAAATGGATGCTTAAAGGCAACAACACCAAGCTATAAAGAGTTTGTTGACCCTCAACAACTTAATCTTACATAGAATTTTTACTAAAATCAATTTTTAGAATTCTGAAATGAATCTCAAGATGGACTCCCAAAGTTAGCTAAACTCAAATAGGCACTACAAAAAGCTTGAATAGTCCATGGCCCAAATAAGCACATAGCAACCTCAACTTAAACTCAATCAAATAGGCACTACAAAAAGCTTGAAATGTCCCATGGCCCAAATAAGCACATAGCAACCTCACTTAAACTCAATCTCAGTCCTGCTTATCTTAGCATTCCTTTAATGCAGGATTGTTCACCTGGTGTTACATTTTCCTATACACCAATATTTTTAAATACTGAATGTATGCATATGTGAGTGTCTTTAGTTCCAAGCAGAACTATCCTTCAATGCAGGAAAAAGAAGGAAACACCAAGAAAAGGGGCACTATGAGATGAGCATTCAACATTAATTAAGGGTGTCTTTTGCATGCCAAAGTTTTAGTGGTTTTTAACTGATAACAGAACAAAACCCAATATTAATGTCGGCATAACCACCTGTGTCTCTTGTTGCAATTGGGAGACGCATGAGTTGGCACCAGCATCAAGTTCATAAGAAAAGCCTACATTGAAAATTCTGTATTATCAATGTGGGATCAAGTCCCAATAAATATATTGGGGATAATAAAACATCATTCTTTTTTCTTCTCTTGGATCCTTGGATCCATCGGATCAGGCACCACCAAAGTACGGCCATCCATTACTCGTCTTATGTCTATTTCTCATGAACTCCCACAATTCATGTTCAACGATGCCAATCTCAAAAATCACATTTCCATTAGATATAATTGCATTTGCCCATTAATGAACCCAAAACTCTGCAAAACCTCTACAGAACACCTAAAATGATATTGTGACAAGATGACTTCCTATTTCACATTATCAATCCCAAAATCAGTGCAGATGTTTTCTCCTCAATTACAAGGAAAATTACATTTTTAGTTATATGAACACGAATATATAGATTATAGAGTAATAAACGCCCATCCCCCCGGGACCAGACACACACACACAAAAAAGCGAAAGAAGTACCTGCAGAAGTTGAAGAGCCTTTGTATCCGTTCTTCCAGATTCCATCATCATGCTTCAAAAAACCCCAGAATTCTTCAACAAAGCAACATAATTGCGAAATTAAAAATTTTCCCAAAATGAAATGATTCCACAATTTAAAACTTTATATTAATCAATTGCCTACCACACCAAACAAAACCAAAGATAGGAGTTTCCAAGTTGAAAAACGGAACACATGCGTTCGAAGAGCACAATAAATGCGAGGAGAGAGAAACTCACTACGTCTTTCCGACTGACAGCTCACATTCGAAGCCGACGCCGACACCTTGAAGGAGCAATCGGTGGTTCGCTTAGAGGAAAGGAAGGGCCGAGTAATGAGAACTGCGACCAAAAAAGCACTGGAAAGGCGCGTGAAGAAAACGCGCTAAGTTACATAAACATTAACTTCGCTTCATTTCGCGCCGCTATTTTTACTGAGCAAATATAGAGGTAGGTGCGAACTTTAAGCCGTAAACTAATACTATTGCTGTCACACGTCACTGCCGTTTCGTTGTAATTATATATTTTTTTTATTTTTATAAATTTATTGGGGAGCTTTTGAATTCACTTTCGAAGCAAACTTATTTTGAGTTTTAATTTTAATTTATTTTCAACAACAAAGATATTAAATTCTTTAATATAATTTTTTATGCTTAATATAAATAGTTTAGAAGTGTTTTTCAAACTAATTTATGAGCACTGCGATTAAATTTTCTTTTAAATATTTTAATTTTAATTGAGTTGAATTCAATAATGGGAAATTAGAAAATCAATTTTTTTACCCATGGTGAATTAGAAAATACTGCCAAATTCAATCTCAAGCTATGACTTCATTTTTCAAAATTAAATAGGCACATTTTTTAGAGCATGTGATCATCAAAGCCATTTTGCAGCCATCCCTTACTGTTTCCTAAGTCAATTTTTCATCTTCTGTTATTGTAACACGTTTCAAAAAATTGTCAAATATGAGCTGAAATACTCCAAACCCAAATTTCTCAAAGCTACATCCAAGATTTTTTCCTAACTTTAAATATGTCTATACAAAGATTTTTCTTAAGCTGAAATATCAAATTTCTCTAATTGATATATCTAATTTTTACATTACATATTTTTCTACATTGTTTGATATAATGATTATTTCAAGTTGGCAAGATTACGTATGGAAAAAATTATATCTAAAATTAATCTGTCCAAATATCTTGACCTATCCAATTCTCTCATTTTAAATATTTTACAAAAAAAAAAAAAAAAAAAAAAAAAAAACAGTTACGTGTCAGAAGACTTGAGCATATCGTCGAAGTCAACATAAATGGGAAAAACAAGAACTCTTTCTTCATTAAGAACCTTTACAAGAACCTAATTCTCAGGCACAATTAACAGCTAATAAGTATAAAGCTCTTTCTTTCATTCTTTCATGGCTACCAAAAACCACCATTACCCTCCTAAATATTTCTAATCACTCTCAATTTCATTTCTTTGGGGGCAAAAAAGATTTGGATCAAAGCAGCCTACTATGATTCCTCGATAACCTGCCCTGCATCTGAAAGTTTAATATTCTTGCTCTTCACTCACATTTTCTATTGCTTTTGCTGCTATAAACACTTCCACTACCCAGTTCCGTTTCCCCTATCTCTTACTGAATCATCTCTCTCCAGACTTTCAAACAGTTAACATTAAACGAAATAACCACATCTGTCATTTCCATTCTGTAATAGGGAACTCGCATATATAGAGGACTATTCAAATTTTCTTCCATGGTTAGCAAACCTCTTATTAGGAAGGTCTTTTATCAGTCTTCAAGAAAAAAGCCAGGTTTCACGGATTTGGTGGGCCCTGGCCTCTGTTGGCTGGCCTAACAACAACATTCCGACATGGAAAATATTGGAAGTTCTTTTTAGATGAATTGGCTGTGAATGCTAAAATTTGAGTCAAGAAACAAGCAATGGTAACTTCTGGCCAAAACTTTCCTGACAAATGGGCTTATTCTTTATCGCAGCCAACTATTGCCATACGAGTTTCCCAGTATTGAAATCCATGCAAAGGAACTTGGATGGGCAAATCTTGTAGCCTATGATTTTCATGCCTTTAAAAAGAGAAATATTACAGGGTAATCATGCAGCTTTATTTGATCCTTTTAGGTATTATAGTACTGATTCTGGTATAAAGGGAATGTTAAGGAGAGGTTGACATCGAAAAGCTGGTTGGTTTGCCTTATCATGGCTTGCATCGGAAATTAGTGAACTCAGATGACCAAGTACTCCATTTGGTGCATAGGCTCGAGGACAAAGAGTTACAAAGGATGGTTCAAATAGCTACAAAAAAAAAAAATGTTGATCAAATCCTGTAATCCGGTGATTATGGCTATGGAGCCATTTCAACGCTAACAATTGCATACATATGTAGTTAAACTCTTTAGAATCAAATCATTTGGATCATTCGATGACGTTGAGGCTATGCAGACTAAAATTTTATATGCCAAGCGACAAAGGGATTGCTTTGGGGTACAATGCTTTTCAAGCTTGGAAAACGATGATAACCTGGGAGCTTTCTCGAGGCTGGTATGGAAATTGTTCATCTATACCTAAGTTCTGTTTGTACTTTTTGTAAGAAAATAATCATTAAAAGTGCTTTGAAAGCAAGAGACCTAAATATATCTCCAACTACTTTTTCTAACAGGCATAAAAAAATTATTTTCTGAAGAAATAGTTGCCAATCTGTATTGCCAGACCAATCGTATATATAATTATATGCACTGGAATGAGGTATTTAAATAATTTCTGTAAGTTAGTTTTGTGTATCTTTCTCATACCTGGATAACTTCGGCATGCTTTATTGAGTGGTGGTGAAGTTCCATGAAAGGAAAAGCATTTATGGCATTAAGAGTCTTCCAATCCAATTCGCCAATTATATTACTTTCTGCTGATCCTACTTGGTTTCTATAGCATATTATGCTAAAAAGAAAAAACTTGATCAAAAGGTAAGATTTTTCTTATGTTTTTGCCTACATGACTCCATATGTTTTGCTTTCTTTGGAAGATAGGGAAATATCTATGAACATGATTCTTGACAGCATCTTGGAATTCTCTTTTTTTTGGTTTATTCTGTTTTTTTTTCAGGGGAAACTGCAGTTTTGGTGATACAGCAGTTGAGAATATCAGTACCAAAAATTGTGCATCCAAATTTGCAAATATCTCAAGTTTTGCTGAAATCAACAGCTACATGGCAACTTTTTCATGCGGGAAAATAGGCTGGGAGAGGCGTGGATATGGACCTGTTTACAAGCTGAATTTCCAACAAAATCCTTCATTTTAGTGCTTCTTTATAAGCGTTAATAAAACTAGTAAAATATATATATGTATATAAAAATGAACTTGAATGAATATATCAAATTGCTATGTAGTTGCAATCATTGGGTGTAAGAAAATTCCATATTGACTATTTTGTTGGCTTCGTCAGGGTAAACTTGCAAAGCGGAGGGGAAATAGCAGTTGAAAAGGCTTTACCAAACAACTTTTCAACATCAAGGATTTAAGGAAGTTCATGAACGAAGTTAACTTACAGCAAAGCTGCAACATGTTAATCTAATAAGGCTTTTGGGATTCTTGCACTGATAGAGGAAGAGGAAAAATGTTGATATATGAGTACATGCCTAACAAAAGCCTTGGATATCTATTTGTTTGGTAAAATGAATTATATTATTTAATCCCTATTTGGTTACTCTCTCCAGATTTAGAAAATAAAAAGAAGCTTAGTGCTCGTAACTTCTGTTTATTGAATGCCAGATCAAAAGAGAAAGTTCGAATTGGAATTTGGAACGACGCGTTCATATCATGAAGGGATGCTCAAGGGCTTATGTACCTTCAAGAATACTCAAATTTGACAATTAATTCATAGAGATATTTAAGCTTAGCACATTTTACTAGACAATGAGATTGAAGCCAAGATTTCTTAGATTTTTGCTATGGCAGAGAATTTTGCAGAAGGAGAGCAATTGAAGCCACCACAGGCCAGATTGTTGGGAACATAGTAAGTAAATTGCTTCTTGAAAAAGACATGATATTTCTACATCTAACAATAACAGTATCTCGGTCTTTAAATTCATCCCCCGCATCTAAACTGATTATTATCCCTTGTGCAGTATTACGAAACCGCTACTATTATACATATAGTGTCGTGTGTGTGTGTGTGTTGTGTGTGTGTGGCTTAATTATCTCATTATTCATGAAAAATTGCAGTGGGCTACGTACCTCCTAATATGTGAAAAAGATGGTACCTACTCCATGACAGATGATGTTTATAGCTTTTGGAGTTTTGCTTCTGCAATCATAAGTGAAAGAAAACACCATGTTTTATGGATTCAAGTGTAATAATCTAAACACTTCATGAATATTGCTAGATGTCACCTCTCTTTTAGAACACTTGCTCTTAGATTATGGGCAACTGGTTAGATGATCTGTGTTTGTTTTCAGCGTCATTGACAGGTTCGTTTACGTAATTGTGGAAAGAAAATTTGGCCGGTGCAGGAATTCTATTTAGATCCAAACATAAGATGATAAATGTTCTCTTCCTGTAAGCTATTCGATCGGATTACCTGCAGAAGCTTAGCGCCTGCTATTGACGTGCAAGAAAGTCGCATTGGTAAGGACCTTCAATCTTGAGCATAGATTATTTCCAGCGGGAAAACGAAAATCGATGCTATTTGCTCGTCCTAAAAGACCTGCATTTTCCTTGTCCTGATATTTGTGAAGATCGAAGAAACAATGAACACACACCAGGTCAAGAATTTGTAATCAGCTGCCGACTGATGTGATGTCCTTACCGAAATGTGCCCAGATACATTAGCTTTCGTACGTTTCTTTTAAATGAAATTGTATAAACAGACAGGCATTACAATTGATTTTATGAGTAAAAACAATTTCAATCATGGATGCTAACATGAATGATGACTGTTAAAAACATCACCTATCTTAAAATTCTGTGTAATTTTATTCACCTTTTTCATTCTAAATTAACCCCTTCATTTTGCATTTTAGCAAACATTAGTATTTAATTAAGATGATTTTTTATCATTAAATTACATTAGAAAATACAAAACTAAATGATATCCAATGGAATTA